GGTGCTGGGGGATTGAACCGCGGTCCCTGATGCTTTGCCAAGCTTGTTCTAAGTAGGTGCCTTAGACCACTGAGCCATCTCTCCAGCCCCATACTCTACAATTTTAAAACTGTTTTTTCTTTTTCTTTTGTATTTTAGTAAGGGTCTTACTACGTAGATAGGACTCTTAGTGATCCGCCTGTGTTCAGCTTCCCAAAAGCTGGGATTACAGGTGCGCAGTTGCTGTCTCAGTGAGCCCTGGCACAGCTCGCGAGGGATCAAATCCCGGCCTCTGTGTCTACCTAAGCAGACGCTTTAATCCACTGAGCCATTTGGCCGACCCTTACAATTCTAAAATGGTTAAGAGCCAGGGGTGGTGGTGCACACCTATAATTTCAGTACTTGGGAGGCTGACGCAGGAGAACAGTCATGAGTTCAAGTCCAGTTTGGGGTACATAGTGAGTTCAAGACTAGTCTGGAGATCATGTCTCAAAAAACCAAATAATAAAATAAAATAAAATCTTAAAATTGATAATCTCAGAATAATAGGATTGCAGTTTACCTTTTTTCATTTTCTTTTTTGTCTTTTTGAGACAGGGTCTCGGTATGCAGTTCAGACTGGTCTTGTATCCCAGGCTGGCTTGGAACTTGCAACAATCCTCCTGCCTCGGCCTCCCAAGTACTGGGATTACAGGTGTGTGCCACCATGCCCGGCTCTGTTGTTTTCTTTTTGTGGAACCAGGGATTGAACTCAGGCCCCTGCGCTTGCAAGGGAAGCACTTATTCCACTGAGCCATCTCCCCGGCCCCAAATTTTTTATTTTTTTAATTTTTATTTTATTATTTATTATTTTTTTATTTTTGTTGGAACTCAGGATTGAACTCAGGCCCTTGTGCTTGCCAGGCAAGCACTTATTCTATTGAGCTATCTCCCCGCCCCCTCTGTTGTTTTCTAAATGCTCAACTTTTTTTCGGTATTGGAAATCAAACTCACCTTATGCTTGCCAGGCAGGTACTGTGCTGCTGAGCTATATCCCCAGCCTGATGCTCAACTCTTCTGTAATTATTATTCACTATAGAGTATAAGGGGAAGGCTTGGCTGTCTAGGCTCTAACCAAAGCTCTATCTTTGTGAGTTGGGACAAGGCAGTTCTTAAGTTTCTTCATCTATAAGATGTGTGTAGAGCAATACTAGCATCTATGTCATAGGGTAATTATTGAAATAATTACCTTAACATACATACAGAGAGCTCAGAACAGTATCTAACAAATGGCAAGTACAACTTAAACACTGGCTATTATTATTGCTAGTCTAACATTTAAAAACTGACGAGGTTAAGGTGAGGGGCTTGATTATAAGATTCAGGGTAGGATCAGAGGGTAAAGAGCAATGTTCTTCAAAGGAAATGGATCACACGAGAATCTACCGAGAGCTCTCAAATAATGAGGCTTTATGTTTTACCCGACTGTTCTCTTCCTCTTCGTTGTTTTCTGAACAGCTCACCATCACTAACAGCTCAGGGTTTTCCTTTTTTAACCGATCAAGGAGCTGTTCTCGTGGTTCAGTTCTCACCAGTGTTGATGGGTAGAAATAACGTTTCCTCTGTGGTGTTGTACCTTTTGTAGATATGAGAGAAGTGAGGAAAATTAGAGAATATAAGTAAGATTTAAAATATGCTAAAACATGTATTTCCAAATGAGTCTTGCCATATGTGAATATCAGTCTTACTACCTGTCAGGTACATGCTGCTTGCAGTTAGTAATGTTCTCTAATTTGATAACTGTCTTTACCATTTCAGCACCTCCAAAATGTGAAGCTATATCAGAAGATGTAAACATGAGAAGCATTATGCATTCTAAAAGGATTGATGGGTCCAGGGAGATGGCTCAGTGGAATAAGCACTTGCCTGGCAAGCGCAAGGGCCTGAGTTCAATCCCCGGTTCCAGCAAAAAAAAAAAAAAAGAAAGAAAGAAAAGGATTGAGAAGTGGTAGCACTACTGGAATAAAACAGTACAGTTTTCCTAATATTTCTTTGGTTAGAGTAGTCACTTTACTATAAATGTAGTATGGAAGCTAAATATTAACTACACATTTCTTTATGAGTTCATGCTGTTATAATTTACAAAGGCACTTGCCTTTCTACTTATCAACATTCCTGATTTCATTAATGAGTGAACAGTAAATTGTTTTTATTTTTCTTTTTTCTTTCTTTTTTTTCTTTTTTTGAAACAAAAAAGAGGTCTTGCTATATAGTTCAGGCTGGCCTTAAACTTACTCTTTAGCCCAAGCTCACCTTGAACTTACAGCAATCCTCCTGCCTCAGCCTCCTGAGCTCTGGCTTTACAGGAGTGCATTACCACACCAAACTGAACAATAGGGGAAAAAATAAACCACCAGTCTTTATAACTTGCTTTTATTTTGGTCTTTTAGAGACAGGATCTCATGGTTTCACTATGCAGTTCAGGCTGGATTTGAATTCATTTTGTAGCACAGGCTGACCTCAAATTCACAGCAATCCTCCTGCCTCAGACTCCCTAATGCTGGGATTATAGGCTTGTGCAACCATACCTGGCTCTACAATTTGCTTTTATAATGGCTTTTGTTTGAAAAAGATTTAAGGTGTAACTTATAGGTCACAAAACTCACTCATTTTTTAATGCACAATTTATGATTTTTAGTTAATTCACAGGTTATGCAACTAACACAATTCAACAAATAATCCTCCACTTAGCTATCCTGTATAAAGCAGGTTCTTATAACCCTGTTTCACAAAGAATTCCCCAAACCCACACAGCCTGCTCATAATGCATGATGCCTCAAAGAGATGACTGCTACAAGTTAACATCCACGGTGATCCCCAGTCTTTCAAAATTGACTCCTAAATGCTAACCGTGCTACAATGTGAACAGTCCATTAAGCTTTTATTCAATTACATTTCTGCAATAGTTGTGATATTACATGCTTTTTACAAAGAGTCCTAGGTAGGTAGTCTGTCAGTTTTATTTTTGTGTTAAAAACGTCTCATCTAGCCAGGCATCCTTGCACATGCCTATAATTGCAGCACTCAGGAAGCTGAGGCAGGAGGCTCACTACTAAGTTGGAGGCCAGCCTTAATCACATAGAGACCCTGTCTATAAGCAAAACAAGCAAAACAACAATCAAATGTCTCAATATAGTTTCTCCAATGTAAAATATGACTAAATTATAGTGCCCAAAATTCAAAAAGTACATAAAACCTTTTTATGAAGACATCAAACACTTGATGAAAATTATTTTGGGTTTCCAACTTTTTCGTGTTTGAATTGATTACAATGAAATCATAAATTCCTATCAGGCAATGGGAAGACCCAGTTTTAAAGAACACTTAACATTACCCAGAAAAACCAAGAACAAAAACAGAACACCTAACACTGTGTTGAACTCAACTTGAAAATGTTAAATAATTCTATTTCCTTTTTAACGTACCTGTTGGGATGTCCAGTTTGAGATCCTGTTGCAGGAAGCAGTGAAGCTTAGTCAAACCCTGTTTTGTAGTTTCATTAAGTTCTAGATTTTGTGCTGACATATTTTCTTCATCAGTTCTTATCTGGCTAAGAAAAATATCATGCTGATTCTTATTTTCTGCCTTATGTCCATTTAATTTTTCAGTGATTTCTGACTTGGAGGCCTCCCAACATCCGTTTGTACCCTGGTACAATGTAAACAAACAATCAATACTAAAATAAGAGTGCCAGTGCTTTACTCAATATCACTTTCCCTTACCCTGACATGACCACAAGTTTCAAAAACACATATCAAAGCAGAGGGAACAGATAACTAACCACATCCATTCACTGCCACCCCAACACTTAGCAACACATGGGTTACACAGGAAACGGGACTGGACCCCTACTCCTTCTCATATCAGGGTTATTGTGCAGCAAATACATTAACATTTCATCTGTTTACTTTGCTCTCTCTCTCGTATTTAGGACAGGGTGTACAGGGTCTCAGTGTGTAGATCGGACTCATAGTGATCCACCTGTTTACAGCCTCTCAAGTGCTGGGATTATAGGAGCGTGCCACCAAATCCAGTCTCAGTTGCCCTCTCAGCGCACCCTGGGGGGGGGGGGGCTGGGCTGTCACAGCAGGCCAGAGGATCAAACTCTGTGCCCTGCACCTGCCTAAGCAGGCACTTTAATCCACTGAGCTATCTGGCCGGTCCCCTGCCGTGTATCTCTTAACGACCATATAAGACTATCATATTAAAACATTTTAACATTTATTCCTTCAAATCACATGTCTACAGTGTTGAAATTCAACCAAATGTCTCAAATGTTTTCTACAACTGGTTTATTTGAACCAGAATTAATCACTAGATAAGGTCTTAAGTATAGGATTAGATAATTTATGTTCCCAACTTTTTAAAGCAAAAGGCTTGATACTTAATCATTACCCATCTTAAGAGAAGCAGAAGGATTATCTCAGGCAAACGAGGATTTAAAGTTTTCTATTTATAGATCTAAGTTATTAGTTTCCTTTTTTCCCAAATTTATTTATTTATTTATTTATTTAGTCTTTTTGAGACAGAGTCTCACTATGCAGTTCAGTCTGGGCTTGGGCTCACTGTAGTCTTGATCGCACAGTGGTCCTCCTATCTCAGCCTCCAGAGTGCTGGGATTATAGGTGTATGCCACCATACCCTGCTTCTATGTTGTATTTTCAATGTCCATTTATCCTGTGTACTTTTTATGAACTGATTAGATATAAAGACTCCATCTAATTCATATTTCACTTTGAAAATATTTTATAGGTGGTACTGAGGGCATATATTACCTGATTGTATCTCTGCATAAGGAGCAGTAAGTGGGTTCTGGTGCAGTTACTCTGTTTAAGGAAAAGTTTCCCTTGACCACCCCACCTTAAGCTTTTTATTAAATGATTTAAATAATCACTAATGGCCAAAGAGCCTAGTCCATTAAAAGGTGCAATATTCTAGTTATACTATTAAGTCATAATATTCTAATTATGACATTTCTGTCATTAGCTGAGATTCTATGAAATACTTTTCTTCACCAATTACCCTAAGTCAAATATACTTATTTCATCAAAGACAGATGCTCTATTCTCCTTATTTACCACCTTGCAAAACAGTACATTGCTTCTCTAGTACGACCTAAAGGAGTTCCCTGAAATTTTCATAAATTCATGAGTTTTACAACATTTGAATCTCCCCAGTACTAGGGATTAAACCCAGGGCCCTTGCACTGATCTATTTATTTTTTGAGATAGGATCTTGCTTAAGTATGTAAACTGCCCAGTCTGGTCTTGAACTTGCAATTCTCCTACCTCAGCTTCCCAGAGTGCTGAGATTACAGGCATGTGCCTCCACACCTGGCTTGATGTGTTTGAATCACTGGAATCATTACTCTCTCTGATGCTCAGCTTACAGCACTGAGCAAAGGAGAGTGCCATTAGGTCAGCAAATGAGTCATTCTGACACAACCCCAAGAGTCTTTACTAGTTTTCTTATTTTCTGGTATGATGAACTGTCTAGGCTCATCACTTCATACCCTTTTGAAATTAGCTACTTTTCTATAATGCTGATTTCTTTTTTTTCCAGTTTGGTTATATAATTTAGAACACGTAAATCCCTTTGAATGTAGTAAAATCCTTTTACTGCACAGAAAGGAAAATCCAAGTCACAAAGCATTCATGTAAATGTAAAGTTCTAGCAAATCCACTAATCGATCATATATCCTTTGAGCCACTAGAACAATATTATACATACTTAGAGCAATAATACATTTGAAAGTACCCAGGGGAAAGTTAATAAAAATGGAAAGCATTAAATTTCCAAAGAGAGTGCCCTTCCCTGAAGAAGCTAACAAATCAAAAACCAAGGATATATAGGACATTAGACAAACATTAAACTAACTTTGAGATCTAGAAGACATACAGCAAAGCATAAAACAAGATCATGTTTCAGTATAGGAAATATTATAGGTAAGGTTTTTGAATCATTCATTACCTCTTTTTTTGGGTGCTGGGATTGAATTCAGGACCTTGCACTTGCCAGGCAGGCACTTAACGCCATTGAGCTATCTCCCAGGCCTTCATTACCTCTTAATATATAATTTGCTTTGAAACCAAATCTAAGCCAGAATATGTAATTATCTGGTTATAACTATTCTCCTCAAAGTATGTTCTGGGAACAAAGTTATTACCTCCAGTAAGTTCTGAAGTTCCTCTTCCTTTTTATTTAAGGAAGATATCCACTGTTCAGAAAAACAAACTGTATCCATGTTCAAAGATGCACATCTCTGTTCAGTTTCTTGAGATATTTCTTCCAGGTTGATGCTGAGTGTATCGCACTGTTTCACAGACTCTTCAACCAACTGTGTACCTTCTTGGTTAAAATGTCTGAGTTTCTGGGACAAGCCATCAAAATCAGTACAAAATTTTTTACAGTGAAAAGTTGCTGTGCTGATTATATCCTTAGATTTCCTATAGGAAAAGAAAGTAACACCGTAGAAACAGGAAAGCAAGATACAACCTTCCAAATACCACACAGCTCTTAAATGGAACACTGAATACATGCAGTGTGGCTCCATAGTCCATCCTGTTAATGAATGCAGATTGAGAATCTATGCTTTGGTCAGTGTATTTTCCAGCAGACTAGCATCACTCTGCCATTAAAGAACCCTGAAAAGATTATAACAATTTTCTCATCTCATCACTTTCCTCCTCAGGTACAATGCCTTTCTTTGTATCTTTGTTATAGTCTCTGATCATTCTGTTATCAAAATGGTCAGTTCTATTATTCTATTATTAAACAGTACCCCTTACCTATGACATAAAACATTATGAATGTTATATATGTAATTTTAAAATTAAAGTACAAAGCTTTCTAATAGTGAAAAGAAAACTGTATTAGGGTATGATACATCGATACAGCACATAACCTATAAATGACATAAACATTGATGTCAGTTAGGCAATATATTTAAATTTTATTCACTATTTTCTTCTCTCAGTAAGTTTCTCTACAATAGCATTCAGAGCCATCTCACAGGACCACAGAACTAAACCTCAGGGAGCAAAACTCATCCTCTATCACCACTAGATGGTATGCTATGTGAGTAAACCCAGTAAGGTAAGCAAAGATGCTGAAAACCAACACTGACAGATTAAGTGGCAACAACTGAAAACTGAAAAGAAATTAATACAGCATCAACATAAATCACTTTCCTCACAAAATCACAACCTGGTGGTGAGATGACACTTGGTCAAAAATACTAGGAGCTATAATAAATGCCAAAGGCAGTTATGATTTGTGTACTTCCTAAGTATTGCTTCCTAAGTACTGCTCCTGGGGTGTGCTGAGACAGCCATTGAGACTGGGCTTTGGCGGCACACGCCTGTAATCCTGGTGCTTGGGAGGTTGTAAACAGGAGAATCACTACAAGTCCAATCTCTGTAGTGAGACCGTATCAAATATATTTAAAAAACAAAAACAGGAGGCCCAGGAGATGGCTTGGTAGAATAAGTGCTTCCCTGGCAAGCACAAGGGCCTGAGTTCAATCCCCGGTTCTGCCCAAAACAAACAAACAAAATGAAGGGGGAAATTTTAACTGTCAGACAAAAACAGAAAATGTAGCCAGCACACCTACCCTTAAGGTCAGGAAGTTCTCCACTGTAAAGGAAGCTTGGAACTTCAGGAAGGAACAATTAAAAGGGCAAAAATAGAAATAAAGAGAATATCCTTCTCATGAGTTGATAGCATCCCAAGCCAAAAAATAAAAAAGAAGCTTGACAAACCATATCTATCTATATGTATATATTCTTATATAAATCTTGGCTCTTTGATTTAAGCATAAGACTTATAGGGGGTAGGATTGTAGCTCAGTAGTAGATCCCCTGTCTGGCATGTGTGAGACCTTGGGTGTGATTGCCAGCATTGCAAAAGGCAACAAACTAAAAGAAAATTTAAGTCTAACTGGAGTTGTGCGATTAACAAGTGATGAGGTTACAAAGCCTCACTAAACTGCAGTGCAGAAATTAGCCAAGTTCTTCTTAAAAACCTAGAGAGTATTTCAGGTTCCTGGTGTAAGCCTGATACAGTGACAGCTCTGCTGCTGCAGCACAAATGCAATCAAAGGCAGCACGGGGAGAAAACAGGCACGGCTGTGCCCAGTGAAACTAATCACAGGCATCTAGCCGAGAGTGCCGAAGCCTGCCCAGTAGGTATAGTTTTCATCAGTGATACAAAATAAAAACTGAAATTACTAATATCAAAGATTGAAGAAATCAGAAAATATCTGGTCAATGAGGCAGGTTTCTCACTGTGTAAGGAAGCACAAAAATTGAATAGAAAAGACATTCATGTGTGTTCAAATACAAATATACACACGCAAAAAACCTTATCAAATGAGAAATTTGATTAAAAGCATATGAGACTTACGCTCTTTGAAACTTTATGCTGAAACAATTTTAGTTCTACAGAAAAGCTTAAAAAGATTTAAATAGCTTACTGCTTTGTACTTTCTTGAACATTGCGGAGTGGTTTCTGGATGCTTTCACATTTTTCCTCCAAAGTACAGAATCTCTCTGCCCAAAGATTCATGAACTGGTAAAGTTCCTGTAAGAACCATGAGGGAAAGGGAAGACTTAAAGTTATGACACTTAGATACTTTCTCTGTATATGACTGATGACATGAAGCCTTCTGCCATAGGTGGAAATTACACAAATTCTTTTTCTTTTTTTTTGTGGAACCCAGGATTGAACTCAGGCCCTTGTGCTTGTCAGGGAAGTGCTTATTCCACTGAGCCATCCCCCCAGCCCCCTACACAAATTCTTAACAGGAGATCTTTAACTCTGCCTCTCCTCACATAGACCAAATCAGTGACTATGATCATGAAAGAACATTATGGGAAATTTTTTAGTCTTTTTTGTTTTTGTTTTTGTTTTTTTGTTTTTTTTTTTGCAGAACCAGAGACTGAACTCAGGCCCTTGCGCTTGCCCAGGAAGCGCTTATTCCACTGAGCCATCTCCCCAGCCCCTAGGAAATATTTTATAAGTAAGAGATTAGCAAACTTTATTATTTTAGTAGTGAATCACTTTCACTGTATGTCAAAATTAATCAAAAATACTCAGATGTCATATTATTATGTTTGAGAGCTACTTGGCTAATTTCTGCACTGGAATTTAATGAGGTTTTGTAGCCTCGTCACTTGTTAATCCCACAACTCCAGTTAAGACTTACATTTTCTTTTTGTTTGTTGCTTTTTGCAATTCTGGCAATCAAACCCAAAGTCTCACACATGCTAGATACATATGGCTACTTTTTAACAACTGGTAATAATACAAAAGAGAATTAATGCTGACAACTTCAGAGTCAAGCAATCAAAAAATATCAACTACCCAGGTTGAAAAATCTTACAAATTCAGTTGAGGCCAGACATGGTGCCAATGAACTATAACCCCAGCTCCCCATTAATCTTAAAGTATGGAGTACACAGATTTATTTTCATGTAGATTTCTGTTCAAAATTTACCTAATTGCCACATGCCATATGTTTAGGGCAAATGTCCTATGTAGTGGTTGTAAGAAATGGCTGTATAATTTCAAATTGCCAAAAATACATAGAAAACACACATACAAATGCATGCATGTCAATTAACACAATCATTATCCAGATGAACCACTAGTATGATGAACTAGATACTATTGAGGGTCCCAAGGGCTCATTTTCTTCATTATAGTTTTTTTTCCTCTGGAACCAGTTAACTCAGGACCTTGCACTTGAAAGGCAGGTGCTGTCACACTGAACTATATCCCCAGCCCTTTGTTTTCATCATTAGAAAAATAAGCAAGTCCTAGAATCTTTATCTATACTGATAGGAGGAATAAACATACGGTGGGTTGCTCAATAAATGTAGACTATTATTTTTACTAATTTCTGTTATTCTTCATGTTTATAAATTAGGAAAACTGATAATCTTAAAAGTTGTTGTCACTCCATCTTATCTTCAAGTTGTTTTCACTTATGTAGCTTCGGTATGTTTATGCTTTCATCTTGTTTGACATGCATACGAATTCCTTCTCCCTCATTTGACCAAGGAAAAGAACTATTTTTACTCCATGTGGCTCATCAAGTTTTACTGAATGGAGTGCTGTCAAATTTTAATAGGCTCATTTAAATAAAACTTTAGTGTTCATTATTACTCAAGTCTTAAGAGTTAACAGAAGCTTTCTATGTATATAATATTATGGACTATGGTTTGAAGGTTTGGATTTGGTTTAAAGCCTCATATGCTTAGGAATAGTTTACACAGATAAAGGTAAGTCATAAATTGTTTTCATTGATTAGAATTTAAGTGGCAAAAAAAACCCCTTAAGTGGCTAACATCAGTGAGACCGAAATAAGAGAAAACAGCTTGGTTTATACATCATAATAACTATCCATGTCACGCTGGAAACAAACTAACATTAAATGTGTACTCTAAATTTATAACCATTTCCCTATGAAAATATGCTTCTTCACAAATCTGTCATCTTGGTACACAGAACTACTGTTTTGTCATAATTCTCAAATATTAATTGACCAAGAGAAGCATTCTCAATTATTTTAATTAATTTTACAAGCAATAGAAGCTACAGTATCTTTTAGGTTTCTAAATTAAAGGCATTCAAACTGTGTAACATTAGGTAAGTCATATTAATCATCACAAAACTTATTTTTACGCCCCTACATCAGCTATACAAGACACCTGTGAATGGGTTTGCTTTATTGTTTTCACTTCTTCACTTAAGGTTCCACAAAGCTTCTGTGATTCAATCAAGGAAGAAACTATACTCTCTTGTAGTTCGTGTAGACTGTTACACAATTTATTGAGGAAGTCATCCATTTCTTTTTTCTGATCTTCAACCTTTGAAAGAAAACAAAATTAGTTTCTTAAATAACTTATCAAGTTTCAGGTATTAAAAATACAAACTACTTGTGGTGGCTCACACCAGTAATCTCAGCACAAAGAGGCTAGGCAGGAAGACTGGTGCAAGTTCAAGGACAACACAGTGAGCTCAAGGCCCAAATAAACTACACAGTGAGATCCTGTCTTAAAAACAAAACAAACATTTGTTACCTTTTCAGCCTCTGTCAATGAAGTCTTGAATATATGTTTCAGTTGACTATTGATTTTCAATATGGAGACCACAGTAGGGGATAAAACCGTTTGCAGTGAATGTAGGTCAGTTGTAAGTTCATTCTAGTTTTAAAATAAAAATGTCTTAAAAAGAATATTTTCACCTCCATAAATCTGGTTTGCTAAATAATATCTTAAATACTTAAACACTAAACATGCACATTAAAATTCTAAATTGACATTCTCTATTCTTTATTTATGTATTTATTTGGTATTTTTCAGGGAAGGGTCTATAGGGTGTTCAGGGTCTCACTACTAGATTAAACTCTTAGTGATCCGCCTGTTTACAGCCTCCCAAGAGCTGGGATTACAGGCATGTGCCACCACGCCCAGACTCAAAGGCAGTCTCAGGCGCCCAAGGGGCAGGGCCGTCATGGCAAGCCAGGGGATTGAACCCACAAATCCTGTGCCTGCTTGCATGCACTTTAATCTGCTAAGCTATTTGGGCAGCCCAACAATCTTTGTTCTTTAAAACCTACAGATACATATGTTTGTATCTAGTTTATATTTAGCATAAGTCACTTAGTCCTGCCTCTAGTAATTAAGAAAACAGTATATAACTTTTTATAGTCCAGTGGTGGTGAACCTATGACACACATGCTGGAATGGGTTTGTACCACTGAAAGTTTAGCATTACTGTTACAGTGTAATGAAACAGAAGTCAGAATTCAGAAAAGGAGAAAATGACAAGTAATTGATTAGATTTCAGTATTTAAGCAAAAGAGAAAAACAATTAAAACCTACAGGTACATTTGAGGAAATTTCAAGCAACTTTAGCTAACTAGTCAAAAAGGCTGAGTCCAAGTAGTTGTCAAGAGTAAGATTTGGGCCAGAAGTCTTGAGGACATTTAGCCTATTTTATCAGAACCTGAGGCAGTTCTGGTTCTTGCCAAAGTATATAGAAAACTGAAGACATCATATTGGGAAATTTTATTTTAAAAACTGACCTAAGAAAAATCAAAATCACAAAATGAATTAGTGAATATTTAGAATCTAGGCAAAGGGGTCGGGGAGATGGCTCAGTGGAATAAGCGCTTCCCTGGCAAGTACAAGAGCCTGAGTACAATTCCTGGTTCCGCAAAAAAAAAAGAAAGAAAAAAAAAAAAAGAATCTAGGCAAAGGATCAGCTAATATTTGTAGTCCTTTACTTAGAAAATCTTTAATAAGCCATAAAAATAAAAAGCGTTAAGAGTTAAGGCTCAGAGAAGTTGGTGACATTGAGCTCCAACTTCAAAAATTATTACATGTATTTCTAGAAACCTATTATTTTCTTGCATTACTATCACATATTGCTATTTCTATCACTTATTACTGTAATTTCAAAATTAACCACCCAACACACTCTTCTGGTTGGGTCAGTGTAGCATGACTACCCACAGCTCTTGGAATACTAGTTTCCAGCTCACTAACAAGTTATGAGGGTCTCTTGAACTCATCTGGAGCCAAGTGTTCCTATAGTCATTAGAATGCTTGCGATTAACTCCTGCTCTTAACCACTTCAGATATGAATGAAAGAGCTTGGAAGAGGGCAGAGCTGGGTGTGGTGGCACATGCCTGTAATCCTAATATATTAGCACTAGGTAGGGTGAGAAAGGGGTATCCCAGGCCAACCTGGGCTACACAGTGAGACCCTGTCTCAAAAAACAGCAGAGCAGGAGCAGGAGCTGAAGCAGGAGCAGAGCAGAGTAGGCTGGGAAATAGCTCAGTGGTAGAATACTTGTTCAGTGTGCACAAGGCCCTGTGTTCAATCCCTAGTACTACAAAAAAAAAAAAAAAAAAAGTTTAAATTCTTAGTTACATGCAAGTTGAAACCAGTTTTACTAAGAAAAAAACAAGGTCAAATATAGCATGGTGTAAGAAACCCAAATTACAAACAAAGAACAAAATAAAGATAAATAATAAAAAGTAAATCAAGTATAGTGGTGCACACCTGTAACCCTAGCACTTAGGAGGCTGTGGCAGGAGGATTGCCATGAGTTCAAATCTAGCCTGGACTACATAGTGAGTTCAAGGCCACTCTGAACTCCATGGTAAGACCCAGTCTCTCCCCTACCCCCAGAAAAAAAGGCAGAAAGAAGATAGATCTTTTTTTAAATGGGAAGAGAATCAAGAGATGGGGGGAGGGGGAAGAGAAAGTGGATGAAAAAAGGAATTAAGATGTGCTATGTACATGCACCAAGGAATGACAACATTATGTACCACGGATATGTACTAACATTAAAGAAAACAATAAGCATACTTGTAGTGATACATCTGTTACTGTACTATGAAAGAAGTATAAACAAGCAAATTGGTCAAGCAATGGCCGTGACTCATCCACATGGCTGACACTGACAAAGGATGTACAAACTGCAGTACAGGGGGTTATAGGATAAATCCTGAGGGGACTTGACTGACCTTATCAGATACAAAAGTTACATTTCTTGTTATATAGGTCTTGCTTTATCTTGGTCTTAACCATCCAGCAGAAAAGTATAAAAACGAAGTATAAAAAGTAAAGCCATATTAATATGCTGAGCTGTGAAAGGCTCCAGACAACAACTTCTGACACTGCCAGTCCTATGGATAACGCACTACTATTATGGACATCCCTAACAAAACTAAACAAATAAAAGGGGATGAAAACAAGAGGATCACTATGAGTCTGAACTGTATAGTGAGACCCTGTACCAAAAATAAATAAAGAAATAAAAAATAATAATTACAACTCCCAGCCAACAATTAGAATATTAAAAAATTAATCTCTAACTAAAAGTAGTACATATTAGAATAGATTAAAAATTAATACCAAACTTGAGTGGCGATAGCATATGATGACAGTCTAGGCAACTATTTTTAATTTTTTTTAACTATTTAATATTTATAGTTCTGGATCTTCCAAAAAGGAAGGACCATTTTGTATTTGTATATACAAAATAGGATAGATATATAGCTACTTTCTCTTAATTCAATGAGAAGAAATACTTGTACTAATAGTATTTGGACAGGATATCATGTCTGCATCTTGTACTATGAATAACCACTAAGAAGATACAATATACAATGTATTAATTATTGAAACTGTCCTATTAATTGGTTTTGAAACTGTCTCATTGCTGTTTCTCAATAAAATTAATAAAAAAAGTATAAACATTGTGAAAAGATGTCAAATGTAACCCTTTGAAAAGCTTAAGAGATTTACTAACAATCGATTTCTGCAGTACAGTTTTACTTTCTGCAGCTAGTGATTGTTCTTCTACCATCATATTAGAAATGCGAGAAACATGAGTCGACACATTTTCTGAAATAGACGTGAGAGATCCCAGTGCTGTCGTAGTAAAGGAGTCTAATGCAGCCACACTGGAAGACAGCAGCTCACCTGTCATGAGGAAAAAGATAAAAAGTTGGGTGTAATTAAATATATTTAAATACAATTAGAACCAACCCCAAAGATTTTGGCAAAATTATATCCTTGTAGAATTCTGTTTGGTTTATCAAAATAGGATTTCACTGTGTATTTCAGGCTTGCCTTGAATTCACAGCAATACTTCTGCCTCAGCCTTTCAAGTGTTAGCTGGGGTTACAGGCATGTGCTACCAAGCCTGGCTGTTGTAGAATTTGTAATAACAAATAAACTTAAAAGAAATGCTCACTAGAAAAAAAAATGGCTCACTATCCAAGCAAGGAAATGCATATATATATATATATATATATATATATATGTGTGTGTGTGTGTGTGTGTTCTACAGCATTCTGCAAGCTCCTGACTTATTCGTACAAGTATCAGAATAATAACTGAAAGGGCTGGCAAGATAGCTCAGCAGACTAAGCGCCTGCTTAGTCAAGCACACGGACTGAGGTTCAATCCCTGGTACTACATGCCGCATCGGCTCCACACCCATGGCACACTGTGCCGGTGTGGAGTCCGGGTGTGGTGGTGCATGCCTGTAATCCCAGCTGCTGGGGAGGCTGAAAACAAGAGGATTACTATGAGTCTGAACTGTATAGTGAGACCCTGTACCAAAAATAAATAAAGAAATAAAAAATAATAATTACAACTCCCAGCCAACAATTAGGATATTAAAAAATTAATCTCTAACTAAAAGTAGTACATATTAGAATAGATTAAAAATTAATACCAAACTTTAGTGGCGATAGCATATGATGACAGTCTAGGCAACTATTTTTAATTTTTTTTTAACTATTTAATATTTATAGTTCTGGATCTTCCAAAATTTCTATGAGGATTTTTTAAAAAAATAATTTTATTGAGAAACAAACAGCAATGACAGTTTCAAAACGGATTAGAAGGACAGTTCAATACCTAATACATTGCTCTATGAGGATATTTTTATAGGTTATCTAATACTTAAGAGTTAAATGGTTTTCTTTTTCTTTCCACAATATGGCAAAACTTCAACATATATATTCCCAAAAGAAAAAAAATTGCAGAATGTTTGTACAGAAAAAATTCTAGTGCAGGTGTGGAGGTGTGGTGGTGCACACCTATAATTCCAGTACTTGGAAGCTGACAGGAGGATTGACATGAGCTCGAGGCCAGCCTGGGCTACACAATGAGAGCCTGTCTCAAAAAAAAAAAGACCAACTGAATTAGTCATTTAGTGTCATCCAAACTAAATGATTCCATTAGTATAAAATACCAGAAAATCTACAGGGACACAAAATATAACAGCTTCAAGACATACTACTATGGAAAGAAACTGAGTATAAGGAATAAATAGGAATGAATAATTAGGATGAGGGAAAGGATAGGAAAAAAGGAGGAAAAATCATGTATGGATATACACAGGATAGTTAAGATGGTTGTACTACTAAATTTCTATCAGGTTTTTGAAGGTAGCAGTTAATGCTTAAAATTTTTATTTGACCAGGCCTGGCATGGTTGCATACACAACTTAATCCCAGCTGCTTGAGAGGCCAAGGTGGGAAGATTGCAATTTTGAGACCAGCCTGAACATTTTAGTCAGCTCCTGCCACCAAAATATTTAACTTTCACCAACTTTACATGCTTATGTCTGTAGTCTGAGCAACTGCATTGAAGACAACCATGCACAATATAACAACCACTATTGAATATCTATCATCTTATTTTTCATAAAATTGTGTATCATTCCTATTATTTTTCTACTATCCTTAAAAAAAAAACACCCAACAACAAAAAACAACCTCCCAAATCAGAAAAAAAAAAGATGTAATACCACACCCTTTTTTTCCAGAGGACAAACATAAATAAGACCTAGGAAATAGTAATATTTATAAGGAAAGAGTGAAGGCTAAGGATAAAGGGAGGCTTTAAGATTTGTTTTAACTCAAAGAAAAGCATCAATTAATTATGTGCCCTGGGGAGCACACCACTGACCTTGTCATCACCAGTGCTTTACAGTATTATTAGTTTGGAAATTAGCCTCACATAAGACATATAAAGATCAGGGTAATTAGAAACGCTTCACCTTACCAATCAAGGTCTTGTGAACATCTAGCATAGCCTTTTGTTTTAAGCTGCCATCCTTGATTAACTGCTCCATATTATTAAACAGATTCTTCAGGTTTTTGCCAAAAATATCCTGTGCTTCTGCATTGTGTTGTTCAACTGCCTTCTTACGATCCAGTTTGGAATGGAGACCAGATACAACCTTTGTAGTTTCTTCAACTGTGTCAAGCAACTACAGGAGAAATTTTAAAATAGATGTTAAGATAAAAACAATCTAGGAGGTTGAGGCAGGAGGATTGCTGTGAGTTTGAGGCTACGCTATGCTAAATGGTGAGTTTAAGGCCAGTCCGAACTACACAGTGAGACTGTCAAATAAATAATAAATGAACGAATGAATGAATGCAATATGTGCCATATAAGGATTTCTCCTAATAAGAAATAGTAAGTTTTAGATACTATATCCAAAGAAATACTTATTCCTTTTTTTTTTTTTTTTTTTAATACTAGGGATCAAACTCAGGGCTTTGCACTTACCAGGCAGACACTTATGCCAGTGAGCTATATTCCCGGCCTGAAAGACTTACACTTATGCTAATCTATAAAGAGGGGCCGGGGAGACGGCTCGGTGGAATAAGTGCTTCCCTAGCAAGCACAAGGGCCTGAGTTCAATCCCCAGTTCCAGGGGGGAAAAAAAAAATCTATACAAAAGCCCAGGAATGTTTATTTCTCCTTCATAGCCTCTATATAATGAAAATTGATTTTGCAATCTTATTGCAACAATTATGATTTCTCGGGGCTGGAGAGATGGCTCAGTGGTCTAAAGCACCTACTTAGAACAAGCTTAGCAAAGCATCAGGGACCGCGGTTCGATCCCCCAGCACCACATGCCAGCCAGCCCCGCCCCCTGGTGGGCTGAGCTGGCCACACACACACACCACACACTCTCTCTCTCTCTCTCTCTCTCTCTCTCTCTCTAATAAATAAATAAATAAATAAATTTAAAAATAAAAAACAATTATGATTTCTCACAAATTTTATTTATACTGTTTTACTATCTTCTTAAAAGTACACCTAATAAAAAATTTAATATTCTGAGTATCTTCCTCCAATAGAAGTTACTAAATTCTTTTTGTTTTGCTTTGTTTGAAACAGGGTCTCAGTGCAGTTCAGGCTGGCCTTGAGTTTACTATGTAGCTCATGCTGGCTTTGAACTTGTGATGATCCTCCTGCCTCAGCCTCCTGAATGTCGGGATCACAGCCATGCGCCACTCTGTCTAGCTGTTTTTATTTTTGAGATAGGGTCTCACTATGCAGGCTGGCCTCAAACTTGTGACAATGCTTCTGCCTCAGCCTCCTGGCCACCATCCTTGGCCACGAATTACTAAATTCTTAATGACTCAAGTTTTAATCATTTGATATCATTACTCTCAATGTCCATCAAATACAAAGTTGTGCTTTCTTTTCAAAAATCCAGGTATGATTTTTTTTCATTTTCAGCACCTCCAAAAAGAAAAACATGGATGAGATAGTAAAAGCGTACTTTAAATTGACAAACCTTGCTCGCAGTATCATGAAGTTTCTCCTCATTGCTTTCTAAAGCTGATGAGATATATTCTTCTTTAATAAGTTGCAATCTAGTTTCTTGCAAATGTTTCTGAGTAGTTTCAAGTTCTTGTGTCTTATTTTGCAGGTCAGATTTACACTGGTAAAGCTCATTTTTATTATCCATAAACAACTCTGTAACCTAAATACAACAAAATGAATATTTTTCTCTTTTTGTAAATTTTTAATTTCATCTTTGAACCCAGGGCCTTCACACTGAGCTGTATCTCCATCATTTTCCTTTGGACACAGGGTATTTTAAATCATTGTTTCCCAGGTGGTATTAGATCACGCAGTCCTCCTGCCTCACCTTCCCTGAGGGCTGGGCTCACAGACAATGTGCTCCACTACCTCTGCCTACTTTATTTTTTTAACCATCCAGTATCTAATTATCTGTACTGCCTTGTCTGATAAACATATTAATAAAAACTTTTCAGCATTCAGGTTGCAAAGCTTGAACAAAATCTTACGTTTAATACATAATGGCATTTGAGTCCCCAACAGACTGTTTATATAACAATGGCCCCATAACATTATAATGGAGCCAGCAGTTAGTGTTAGAATGCTTGCCTAGTAGGCACCACCCTGGGTCTGACTCCCAGCAGTCGAGAAAAAAAAACAACTTGTAATGGAGTACTTCTATCACCCAGTGATCGCAGAGCTGCAATAAGGTCTTAGCAAATGTACTTCTCATGTTTCACTGATGCTATAAACAAAGCTATTGTATAAAACGGTAACACAGATTTTCAATAAAGTTAATGAAAAAAACCCACGATAACACAATATAAACACCATATTACCTAATAATAATACTAGGCTACCATGTTTACCTGTATATGAATTTTCTATACTTTTTAATCATTAGAATGTAATTCTACTTTAAAAAAAAAAAGTTGGGGCTGGTGAGATGGCTCAGT